CGTAGCAGGAGCGTTAGTTAACCCGAAGCTTAACACCTTGAACTGATATAACCCGAACGGAGTACGAAATGCCGTCTTAGGCACGTCTTCGTTCGTGATTCGAATGTGATAGTATCCAGACGTCAAGTCCAAAGAACTAAAGTATCTCGACCCAGAAATAATATCCAGACGATCGTGGATTCTGGGTAGCGGATAACGGTTCTTAATCGTAATATTGTTAAGATAAGGATAATTCTGAACCATACAAAGGGAACCATCCTTCTTTGCTACAAACAGAATCGGAGCACCATACGGAGACGAGGTCGGTTCAACCAAACCCTTCTCGAGCAAGTCAGCCAACTTAGCTTTAACTTCCTGAAGTTGAACGGGACTCAACATGTACATTGGTCGAAAAGGAGGCGGCGCTCCTGGCTCGATCGGAATCGAGTGTCCCACTCCGCGCGCGGGCGGTAGTTCAGAGGGTAGTTCCGGCGAAAAGACGTCCGCGAACTCTTCCAGAAGGGCCTTCAGCGGCACATCTGCAGGTTAATCCATATCCAACTTAAGTTCAGCCAATTGGATTGCCAGAATATGATCACGTCGCTCGAGCGCGCGTTTCACCTGCATGGCGGATAGCGTATGGTCCGCTCGCGGCGACTTCGCGCGCGAGTAACGTTGTGCCCTGGTCGCCGACTTCATCGTATACTTCCTGTTATGCTTCTTGACTGTACAACGAGCCGTTCGGAAGTTAAAGATGGCGCCAACTTTGGTAAGCCAATCATATCCCAATATCACCTGAAAATCGGACAGCATATCAATGACAAGGCACTTGACCTTCTCGCGAGAATTGTCCAGACGGATGTGGAGAGTACACTCTCCGTGGGGCTGTACAACAGAACCAGTACCTAGCTCTACGTTCGACTTCGAAGGAGAAATTACCAAGCCATGCAACTTTGCAAACGCTTTAGAAACGTGATTAGCACTGGCGCCACTGTCGAACAGGAAGTTGACTTCTGTTCCAGCGGCTTGCCCAACAAAATGCATAGTCACACGACCATTCTGCACTACAGCTGAAAGCTGTTCCGTCATTACCGGATCATAAAGCACTTGCATATGATACTTCGAGACGGTGGGTGTACTAACACCATCATTTACAGTCAAGATGGTGTACCTGCACGTATATCTTTTACCACTGTCCATGCTTTAGCATCTCGCGGAACATTCCACGTTGCACAGCTGGCACGAGAACA